CCAATACGGGCTTCCCTCTAACTCATACTTTTGCTGCCTGCACGTCGAGTGCACAGGTCGGTCGCAGGACCCCGGGCATTTATGCCCCCCCACAGTGTCGGTGTTGCACGGGTGGACGCCGCACGGGGGGTGTCGACGTGCCGACACCCCTCGGCCGTACGGCCCCCTATTGCGAGTTTGCATTGTCGAGTAGACTACAGCAGAGTGCCGAGCTGCGGCAGATCGCCAGAGATGGGCTCCTTTTCGAGGGATCGACCTGTTGGGCTGGAGGTTTGTTGTGCTGTGCTCCAGAGGTATGCCGGTGTATGTATGCCTTGCTGTGAATGTGGAGATTTTAAAAAATAGGTAAATTTTGGTTTGCGAACCGGCACTGCTGGGGACCGCCGAAATAGCCTGCGATTGGCTCGTTCTCGGAACTTTTCGGGCCGAAAAATTAGTAGCCTATACCGAAGACAAAACCGTGGTACACGACTTCGGGATAGGAGAGGCAAGAGATTACAGCTGACGAGTATGCCTCCCGCCGCGGAACGCCCTCGCGAGGATTTTACGGCTTAATCTACTGGTATGAAATAGAGAACGGGGCTTCGTATCCCTAACCCTAACCCCAGCCCGTATCCCATTCTAGAACCATGCATAACATTCTCGCGAAGGCTAGTCTCCCCCCCCCCCCCCCTTGGCCCCAAAAAACGCGACGGGGCGGGGGGAACTTAACCCCCTTGATCTCCTTCTCGATGTCCTTGATCGAGGTCGTGGACGGGCCCCGGGCGTAAGTCTTGAGGAGGGCGATGTCTCCCTCATCCAGGGCGGCCGGCGGCGCGTCGTCGTCCTCCTCGTCGTAGTCCTTCTTGTTGGAAGTCTGGCATGCCCCGGCGTCCCCCATTGTTTTCTCGCTTCCTTACGAAAGATTGCTCGCTTGTTGGTGTCGTGGTAACAACACAGATTTATTTGTCGTTTCCCGGTGGCTCGGAGCGGAGCAGTGGCCGCCTTTCTTCTTCGGGTGTCGTACGATCCTGCAGCTTTTGTGTCTGCTCGAGAGTAGATGTGTACAGCAGTCAGAGAGCCGGCGGCAGGCAGCAAATCAGCAATAAACAGCTGCTGGTTCTGTGCATCAGGGAGTCGTCCTATGCATACTATCAACAAGTCAAGGGGCACACACACGCTCTACCTTAGTATCCTCACAATTTAGTTTTAGCCGAGAGGTTTACTGTACTCCGCTCAGCACTCTAGCACTCGCACCTTCTCTCTTTGAATCCCCTCCCACGTTGCTCAGTACCGCTCTGCAGGCGGAAACCTGCTGCAACGCCGCCGTTGCTTTGTGCACTCAGTCTCTTGACTCTTTGGCGGAAAGATGCTACCACACACAAGACACCAGGTTATTTTGTGCGCCAAAGGTACACACACGCCCAAACAGAGCCGTGGGTCCAGTCATCGCAGCAAAGCCAATACGAGCTGGGCAAAGACAACCTATAAGCACGCCCTGCAGCAAGAGGTACATAGCCAGAGTGCCTCCAAACGACATAGTCGATCTCACAGCTAATAGCTGCTCTCTCCGACGATTTCCAACGAAGTCGATCTCCTGATCGTTGCCCTTCTCTCCATGTTTCCCCTTATTGACTCTCTGAAACCGCGGCAAAACCGACGCGGCAACTGATCAACACACTCACCTCCTTTGTTCACAAACACGCTGTACCGGCTCGGAAGTGTGCGCTGCCTGGCTAACTATCTGTGTTGTATTCGCCGCGCAGCGTTGCAGCTTGGCCGACGCCTGGGGGCCCCGCACATGTAGTTCTCAGTTATTAGGATACCCCTCCTCGCCATCTGCATCACCCCCTCTCTCCACCCTCCACTGCCGAGCAAGCCCACGGCGCTGCGTTGAATCACGACATCTCGTTGGGCCGGCGTGCTCTCGGATCTAGGAAGCCGGCCGTTCCCCCTGACAATCGACAAAATCCTGCAGTAGAAAAAAAGCTGCCGGCTTTACACGCGGCAAGTGGTTCGAAACCCGCACGCGAAGCAGCTGCTGCTGCTGTAGGGGAGCACGAACACCAGCACAGGCAGGCAACATCATGGCTAACGTTGACGAGGAGATAAAGGCACTCCAGAAGGAGCGGGAGAGCGGGATCGTGGCAACGGCGGATGGCGAGGATGACGGTGGGGACGGGGGAGAGGGGGATGGCGCCGACGGCCAGGTGGCGCTCACGGGGGCGGGCGCCTACGATCGAGACATCTACGGCGGCGGCGGCGACAAGTTTGCCGGGTGAGCACAGCAGCAACGGGGGGAAAGGATCGATCGGAGAGGGGTCTCACGTATTGCAGGGCGACCCGAAACACACCCGTTTTGCAAAAGATTTGCTACGGATGCTTAGGAGGGCGAGTGCCACACGGGATAGATAGATGCACGCAATGTTGCAGAGTCTCCAAAGATATTATATTTTTTGTGCTCCGGAAGAGATAACCAACGCTGCTGCTGGCTTGTTTCCTGACGTAAACCAATCACCACTGCCGCCACCAGTGCGTGAGGCGCACCTTCCCATTGGCGTGGAAATAATTATCTCCGAGTTCCTGCCTGTATGGTTTGCCCCGGACGTCTTTTTTTTCCGCTTTGTGTGATTGTTTCAGTACATATTCCTCAAAACCTAATCTGTGCCTGGTGGATTGTGCAAGGCTTGTAAGACTTCCAAGCACCGCTGAAATCACGGAGCCCCCCTCGTCGTCAGCACCTCTCCTTCTCTTTCCAGTGCCTGCTGACGGCTTGTGATAGTGACGGTTTGCCGCGAATCTGTTGAACGATACGTCGCTGTCTTATTTTATTACTTCGAAGTATGTTCGGCGAGGAACAGCGTACCATATACACAAGGAAATGTGCACGAAAGCGTTCTGCTATAAACCCCCGCCCTCACCAGAGTACCCTCAGCTGATTGTGTACAACACCACCTCTCTTTTGATGCTCCTCCGTACATGAACTTACTTCACCCCCGCTGCCAGCAAACCGACATGGGTTAACAAAGGCTGGAGCAACAACTGTGCAAGACAACGACATACCCACAGCAACCGAATCCAAGCTCTTGGGCGGCACCGTACGCGTATCCCCTTCCCGCCCGACATATGTACCCACATTCCACCACCTCCTGATTACATGAATACACCCTCTCCCCCGTTTGCTTTCTCCAACAACAACAACCCACAACAACAGAGTCTCCCAAACGGTGGTATACGAAGAAGAGCCCGAACGAAGTACGTGACCTACCCCCCCCTCCACCACCCATGTACCGAAAAATGAAAACATCCTCTCCCCTGTTTTGCTTGCTCCAACGACAACAACAGAGTCTCCCGAACGGTCGTGGAGGAAGAAGAGCCCGAGGACGAGGACGAGGTCGTCACGAGCCACCGCGGTGGCGGCGGCGCCTCGCACCCGGCCTCCCGTGCCAGCGTCAACGCTCCCCGGCACCTGCTCGACGGCGGCGAGGAGAGGGAGGGCGGCGACGACGACAACAGCACTATCGCGGGCATGCGGGCCGGGGGGTCCGGGATGGTGAACACGGTCATCGCGGAGCGAGAGTCGGCGTACCAGGCGAAGGGTCGCCGGAACCAGATGGTGCGCTTGTGGGGGGGTCGGGGTGAGGTCTTGGGGGAGAGGGCGTGGAGGGGAGTGTACTCATGTAAACGCATGCCGTAGTCGTTACAGTAGACAATTGACCTGGCATCCCTGCTATGTTGGGACGGAGCGATATGCGGGATGTTCGCCGGCCCAGGCTACTACGAGGACGTGAAAGGGGTGGGGGTGGGTGGGATGGTAATGGGTTGGGGTCAGCGGGGTTGTTGGTGTGCCTGCAAACAGGCGTTTTACCGAGTATGGACACCTACCGTGGCCTTGTGAGTGGTTTCGGGTTGCTCTTGTGGTACCGGCTAATCTCGTTCCTCCACGCTTGTATGGATGCCTGACTTGTAGAAGTATACATTAGGTCTCGCTCGTGAGAAAGTCGTGTTGCCAGGAACGTCCACAGTGACACGCTCTGAAAACGAACAACGAAAGTGGTGTGGAAAATAGCGATCTAAGCCACCTCCGGTTGAATCCTCTGCGCGTGCCGCATTCTCTGCCACGACACGGTAGCGGGTGTCACAAGCTGCGGTAAAACCTTTCTGTCCATGCCGTGGTCACTCCCGACATCCAGGCTCGTCTTCTTTTTTGTTATATGCTCGTGTCTCTCGCGCCTACACTGACGTCGTTTCGGCCGTTCGATGTGAATGCTCTCCCGCGATGGTTTTTAAAATAGATTTCTCCCATCCGAGGCGGAGACGCGTTTGCCGGGCAGACGCCGACGCGAAGCTTTAGGGATATTATGGCGGAGCAGGCCCTCGCCAAGGAGAAGGATGTGGTAAGTGCCCTTGGTTTGCTGGCATGAGTGCGACCATGCACGAGTTTGGGTTGTGACTTCTGTCTGAAGTCGCACATATGTCTCTTTGGCCGATATTTACTCTATTTGTTTTGCTCCTGTTTTGATAGGAGCATGCATATACGCACGTGTTTTGTATCAGGTAATTTTTTGGCGATGGATACCGTGTGGCTTGAGTTGGGCACGCCGCTTCACACACACACACACCTAACCGCTAAGGCATGCAAAACATAAGAGTACCCCCCCCCGCCCCCCCGTCACGAACGTCGCAAGATCATGCGGAAGGCTGCCAAGCAGGCGGAAGAGGCAGCCAGCCTCAAGCGGTCGGTGCCATCCTCTTCCGCCGGAGGCGCCGCCGGCGCCGCCGGAGTGTACGGCCCGGGAGCCGGGGCCGCGGCGGCGGCGGCGGCGGCATCGACAACGCCTCGCGTCGGCGGCGGGCGCTGGCTCTGTCCGCAAGAAGCGGCGGTGGGACGACGGGGGGACCCCGGTCGCCGGTGGCGTCGCGGACGGGGACGAGACCCCCGCGGTCGGCAAGATCGTGTCCGACTGGGATGCGGACGTGGCGACGCCGGTGCGAAGCAGCCGCGGCTTCGGGGGCGGGGAGACCCCCGGGAGGACGCCCGGGGGCGGCGGAGAGACCCCCGGTCGCAGCCGGTGGGATCAAACCCCTAGCCGCGATGCCCAGGAGACCCCCGTCACCAGGCGTTCCAGCAGGTGGGACCAGAGCGGGGGCGGGGGCGTGACGCCCATGGCAGGAGGCGTTACCCCCGGCGGGGTCGGGGACACTCCCAAGGCCGGGTCGAAGTGGGACGACGAGACCCCGAGGGCGGGGGGCGGGTTCGGGGCAGGGGAGACGCCCTCGGGGCGTAAGAAGTCTCGGTGGGATCAGGTGAGCAGCGGGTGTTCTTGTGTTGCGTTTAATGCACATGCCGCCCTTATTAAACCCTAACCCTATGCATAGCCTTAAGAAGTACATAAGTTTACGCAACGTTTTTTGTTTGTTTTGGTGTCGTCGTGGGCGCAGTGTGCTCCGGCATAAGGTATTGTAGTGTCGTTGTCTCCTTTCGTCGTTTGTGACGGCGAGGCTTGTGCTGTTGGGGTTCCTTCCCTCCCCCCCTCCGCGCGATTTGATTGTTGTCTCTTCACCCCTTCTTGAGAACGCGCGCGGTGTCGGGGTGCAGAAGCCTTGGACACGAGAGAGCGCCGCCTCATGCCCACCGTTGAATATCGTGTTTGTTGCTCACTACGGAGCCAGTTCCGTCCCCGCTGCTCTTCCCCACCCTCTCCTCGCGAACGATGAGATAAGAGAGCACGGCGCTGCTCACCGAATTGTTGATCTCTCCCCCCCGGCACTGTAAGTATTGTAAGGATGCGAGGTCAATGATCTAACGGCTACGGTGCTGCTCACCTACCTCTTTAACCCCCCCCCCCCGCCCCCCTCTCTCTCCCCCTTCCCGCCCTCCTCGCAGACCCCTCAAGCTGGCGTAACCCCGGGGCAGACCCCGGTGGCGGGCGCCATGATGACCCCCGGCGCCACGCCGTCCGCGGGGTGGACACCCGGGCAGACCCCCTCGGGGATGGTGACTCCCAGCCCTAATCTCGCGCAGGCGGGGCTGGGCGGGGCCGGGGAGCCGATGACTCCGGAGCTGGCTCAACAGATGCGGTGGGAAAGAGAGCTCGACGAGAGGAACCGCCCGCTGACCGACGAGGACCTGGACGCGATGTTCCCGCCGGCGGGGTGAGAAGG